TAATCATCGCATTTTTTATCCGACTACTTGCTTATCAAAAACATAGAGATACGAGAATATTTTGCAGCTACTGGTCTAAGAAAAAGACGTCATTTTCCAATGCATCGGCACAAATAGATCAAACCTTACGTCGTTGGTGGGGTGAAGCAAAGAAGTACGGTGTTAATTCACGAAACGAATACACCATTTTGAATCTATTTGGATTCGCTAGTGTGAGCTCAACTAAGCAACAAATCTATAGTATTCAGCAATATTCGGGGATAGATTCATCATACTTCCAGATGGTCAACTCTGATACGACAAAAATAGGTTGTGCTTACAAGATTTGCCGTAGCAGCGGCACAAAATTTACTATCTTATGCCTCTATAACGAAATGTAAGTTTGTTTTTGAGAAAAAAATTTGGATCTTGGGAAAACGCATGCAAGTTTTTCGCTTGTGAGTTTACTGGGCACATGTAAATTCAGCGGTTACTATTCCAATATGTCGTTGTGGGAAACCGGACCGGCTTGCGAAGTTGGCGCAGATTGCACCACCTATGAGGAGTCCGGATGTTCCAATGGTCTCTGCACCAAAGATCGTGATATACCAGGTAAAATGAGTGCTGAGTAACTAGGATTAAATGCAGAATTTGAATATTTGCTGAGATCGATAAGCACATGGTATTTTTGTTAATGTTACACCCAAACAAATATCACATAATCTTTGACTTTATGGTTGCTGTATTAAGTACTAATAACTATGGGTGATACCAAATAAATTAAAGGAAAAACACAAAACCCTTTTCCTCATAAAGTAGTGAGCAATTTGTGACGAAGATTTAGGGTAATAGTCAAAAACAATCGTATAAACTAATAAAGAATGCACATAACTCTAGTTTTCAAAGGCAGTCCTAGCAAAAAAATGAAAGTTGACTAACCTGACTCAGTCCAAAGTGGCTGATCCTAGTGCAGATTCCAATATGCCTATGGCGCAGCTACTTCTTTTCCAGACACGAACCACATATGTCCGAAGAATGCTGGAATGACAGATAGAATCAGAAAGATGTTTTTGAATCTTCATAACAAGTACAGGTAGTTTTTGTAATTAAAATGATGTTCATTAAAGGATAGTAGGTGATTCACGGTGTAGGATATTGTTATAATAAGCAAATTACTGGAAGTAATTAGTCATTTTATACAGATCGAGTCTTGCACGAGGTCTAGAGCCTGACGGTCTGGGAGGTTATGCCCCTAAGGCATCTAACATGTTTAAGATGGTAAGTTTATGCAATTAATTTGTCTTCACATTATACAAATGTAATTATTGAAGAAATACGACTGCTCCGTAGAGGCGAAAGCAATAAAACATGCAAATAAGTGCATTTACGCACATTCTACGGAGAAAGAACGGACAGGCTTCGGAGAAAACATATTTAGAGCTAATTTTCCTAGCTTTAATAGAGTTAAAGCCGCTTATCAGGTTCGTCAAAACTTCTAACTTTAAGACTATAATCAGAATTTGAATCTAGGCCTCTTATCTATGGTGGAAAGAGTTGAGAGATTATGGTGTTGGTCCCTCTAGTGAATTTTCTATAAGTATAGCTGATAGGCCTGGAATGGACATCAGCCATTATGCGCAAGTAGATAATTTCTTCTATTTATTTCTGCATAAATGAATAAGGGAAATTCAGATGGCCTGGGCAACCACATATAGGCTTGGATGCGCGGTCGTAACTTGCCCAGAATACACTTATGGCGTTTGTCAATACGGACCAGCGTAAGCGCTACAATCGATTACGAAATCCGATAT